CGAAATACTATTAGAAAATTTCATATAAAAATTCCGAATATATCACCCGTTTACATTCGAGCTACCAGCAACTGAATTGAACCAATGAACTAGGTGTCCAATTTGTTAGATTTACTTTCGTTAGCGTACCAATAAAATGGGTTATATTTTTTAAATACTCGACTATCGATTATCTCGAGTGATATTAATTTGTTTTCATTCAAGGTGTGGTAGTGCATAATATATTAATGTCTTGTCGCTTAGACACAGTGAATACATTATGCTTTGAATAAGAGGCTTTAAGAGGTTATTTATTTAAATATTGTTATGTCACGATATTGTCTTTAATCTATAAAGTTTATTAGTCACCAAAACGAATTATGCGTTGCTTACATTAATGTAAGCGTTTCATTAGATGGCATTAAGATTTTCTTTACGAATGGGTAATACTAGGGATTTTGAAGGGGCTGTACAAACTTGGCACTCCAAAAACATCGCATATAGTTTACCTTGGTGTTTCTAACGTTGTTAAGCGGTGCCGTAATCGTAAGTTTCGAGTGTCCAGGGCAGAGACGGTCATTTATGTGCCTGTAACTAAACGGTCAATGAAACAGACACAAAAATATATGGAAATAAGAATTTTCCTTTTTCTGCACATATTAGTTTATGCAATTAATGATTTGTAGTATTTCAAAGGATTTAATTACTTTCTACATATTTGTTGCGTACAGAAGTAAAGTTGAGTGGGCACATGACTCTTATCCTGTGGAATGTTCACAACGAGAGAAAATAAATGAACGTAAAAAATACTTTGTATGTACATATAAGTTTAATTTATTACGACCACGTGTGGATTAAATACATTAAGATTGTTTCCTATCGACTCATTCTTATCAACTTTTTTATTATCGCTTAAGAGGATATGCTCTATATTCGCTGAATATAATTAAGAGGTGATTAAAAAACAAAGGTATAATTAAGATAATTATATGTGATTAATACTATAGTAGCACAACGCCACCTAAGTTTCGGAAATTTTTTTTTTGAAGATATTTATTAAAGCTTATTGAAGCTTGAGCTTATTAAACCTAAAAAATACCTCGCAGTTTACCAGCTTTACACGATTGCTTACTTTACCATATTGAACACTCAAGTGAAATATCTAATAATAAATAAAAATCTTAAATATGTCTAAGTTTACGTGAGTAGTACACACTTAAATAAAACTCTTTAAAGGTTTAACTAATATATGGAGTTTTAAAGTTAAAGTTTTTATTTAAAAATAAAATCTTCTTCACGCGCGAGTACTCTATTTTTTAGTCGATAAGTAATGGAAAATTGTAACCGCTATAAACCTAGAACTGATGTTGTTACATACGAACTTTGAAAAACAAGGGCTTTATTCACTCGGTTGGGGATTGATTATTGAATGCCTACGCCATACAAAGAGCAGGTCCTCCAATATGTCAACGATGAGCAGTAGAACGCTTGGCTGTGCAGTAATCCATTAAATCAGTCAGGACAAAGAATTGTGTGTTTTAACAAGTATCTGAATATTTCCATTAACGTATTAAATAATTAAATATTATCCAGATAACAAAACAGATAAATCTTTAAAAAATTGGCAAAACCTAAACTGGTTTAAACGACACGAGTTAATTATACAATACCAAACCAAAGTATTTTGCACGTGTTTCACACAAGATACAGGTAGTTAAAATAATTGGCAACCAAGCTACTGACATAGGTATTTTCGCTATAACAATGGACACTGACCTTTCACTTTTACACATAAGCTAAGTGTAAAAGAGATTTTAACGCCATCTTTAGTCTAATGGTAGCAATGAATGCTTGATAACCAACAGGTCGTGGGTTCCATTTTTACCAAGTACAACATTCATAAAAATCAAATTCCTATATTTGATTTTAATAATACTTAACGGTTAAACGTATTTGGACATAATTTTAACTACAGCCCGACGTTTCGGATGCTTTGCAGTAACCGTGGTCACGCGGAGACTAAAGATAGAGGGTGTCTATAACGTCAAAATAAAAACTGCTACCCTAGCGCGATCTGTTCCGTTTTAGTTGGTGTTTGGCGAAACTGGCCGGATCCTTGCAGAATTGACTAACCGTGTGGGCTAAACGTCGCTATCTCGTTTTCGACTGTTTAAATGTTTTAATGAAATGTGTACTACTCGCGTAAACAACAGATAGTATCCTATGTTCTAATTACTTAATTTATTACTAAAATATTTGATTCTTCAACATAATACATGGAAAAGCACTATTTGAGATACAGTTTCCGTTTGTATACTTTCGAAAGGCAAAGGAGAAAAAGGTTACAATTAGATGTTATTGCATTTCACTTTCGAACAAGTGAATGACGTGTTTGTCTGTCCTGAGTCAAAAAAGGATGCGACACAGACTTGTTTTATAACGATGATCTAAAATACTGTAGCGGTCATATCCAGTGTCGACGCTCAAGGAGGACCAGGCCATTCCATAACCGGAACTGATTCGTTTATGCCTTCATCGACAGCTTGAATGTAACTAATTAATTATTATTTTGTAGATATACCTAACTCAAGATGTATCTATATCCAGGTACAGCTTGGAATAACAAAGTTGTTGCAATAGAAAAGTCGACATTGCAAGAATTCTGACATTCGGAGACTTAAGATTTGCGTTTTTCTTATTTGTAATTAAAGAATTTAATAAAAAAAAGTTTAGTTATAATATTTTGATGACAAACATAAAAGCTCGATCGCTAAAACTACCTAACACTTGTTTAAGATACATTTTTAATTATAAACTTTATCAACTCAAGGCCCGTTCTAAAATTATTTTTGGTGGTTAATTTGTTTCGTATTTATCACCTAGACGCGTTTTAATCAGGACAATTTTTATAATTTGAAGCAAAATAAACTTCTAATATATTCCATTTCCGTTCGTATCGCGATCATATATTCTTAACATGCTAATTAAAAGTAATTTGATGGACGTTTAATGTGAATATTAAATATTTAATAATATTGTGACACTAGCTTAATCTTACGCTAACTAATATAATAATAATTTAATACTATACTGGAAAAACAAAATAACACACATTGAAAACAAAAAAGTAAATACAAAAAGGTTTATGCCAAGATGCTTAAGGAGGATGTAAAAATTTCTTTTTATATCGAAAAGAAATTGTAACAAAGCTTTTGCTAACACATTCAAGTGAACAATGGAAGGAAGAGTGTAATAATATATACAAACTAATTACCTAACAGAGCACTTATAACAAATATAAATTAAAACAATTACAATATATACATTCCAAATCACATCATGCTGAAAAGCTCCCCATGACCACAACTGCGATAAAGCATCTGAATTGTCGGGGTAAGTTAACATAAATTGCAAGTAAGTTGAGAAACATATCTCGCGTTTTAACCCGTTAAAACGTGTAATATTTGCATAAACTATAGCTACGTGCCTAAAAGCTGTTAATTGTCTCCATTATAATAAATATCCTTTACTTATCTGATTGTCCACCAAGACGGACCAAGTCTCGGTGGCTCATCTGTTCGCAAGTTCTCACCTAACGAGTATTTTTCCTCTATTATTACGAAGCATGGTTCGCTTTCACTATTACCCATCAAGTGACGATGTGACAGCATAATTATGCGCGTCGAATATAATCATGTACGTCGCGTGCATCTCTAGTGCTGGACAAAAAGATCGCTCGTGACCCCGCGGCCAGCCGATGCCGGAATCGAAAGTGCTCATCATTGTGACCGCCGCCCGCGGCGCTTCACGTAATGCGATTTTGACTTATGTGACAGTTAATTTTTCTAATTGAACGGTAATCCATACTTATGCGCAGGCGGCTCTTTTGTGATGCTCTCGTGTTTCGTCATCGAGCAATTTTACATAATTTCCGCGTTATCGTATGAATCGCCACTTGTTTAGCTTCTTTGACGATTACCGTTCACTTCGTAACTAAAGCTCTGAAAAATGTATTGTCTACTAAAATCCATTACGGGCAGATTGTGCAAAATTAAGAGTATATATTATTATAATTTTACAGATAACATTTTAAATAGCTTTCAAGTAAAGATAAATTCTGATTCAGCACACTATAATATACTGTTATGAACTTCTCCAATATGTTTATAGATTATTTGGCACAGCAAATACAGAGTAAATATCGTGCAAAACAGAATTGGCACATTAAACGCGAAACATTATGAGAGCCAAGCTTTCGTGTAATCAAAAGCACATCGATAGTGCACTAGTATGGAGGCGCAGTGGGCGAGGTTAAGCGATTGCTTAGATCCGCGTTCACCTCTCATTGTGTAACTGCTCTGCTGGTCTCCGAGGGGGTGGGGAGAGCGCGGTGCGGCGAGGAGGGAGGGGTGCCGTGGGAACCGCCGAAAGCTCGCTATGCCTAGCTTCCGCCGAAGCGGCCGAATTACCTTAACGATAGATCTCGCACGCCACACAAACAATACGCAACACCGCACTTACACAAATTGAATTCTTCATTATCTTTAGTAACAGGAAATTATCATGTTAATATGGTTGATAGACGTGAATATATTTAAGTACCACTCAGTTCAAGCCTCTCTATTAACTCCATGTGTTCTTCACTGGTTAAACTTGTTGACCCGGAAGAATCTCAGGTACAAATTTTAAAATCAGTGGGACAGGACATAAAAGTTAACTACTCATTAAACGGACAAAGAAAAGTATACGACCTTTGCCTACTTGGGCAAAACAGAACGTTTATTATGACATAAATATATTTCCCTATGACCTATGCTATGTTTAATTAATCCAATTGAATGCTTGTTGGTTTCATATTTCTTAAACAATGAGGCTAGATGTGTACGTTGAAGATTAGTTACCCCGCCAATTATCGTAGAAACCGAGCCATAGCTTTTAGAGCTTACAAAGGGCTTTGAAATTTATGATACGAATTCATATTGTTTTGTAATTGTTTCCATACAGTGGGGGACTAGAATAATTCATAAGCACGCTTGTTTCCAGCCAGCGGCGGTATAGCTGGAGCGACGACAGCTGAATAGGTTAGAGGACTGGTGGAGGTTAGCGGGGAGGCTGTACGCCGGGGGTGAAGGGTGAGGGGAGGCAACGCGGCCGAGGGCGGAGCACCTGAGCGCGCCCTGACCTACGACCCGCGGTGAAAGGCGCCCGCGCAGCGGCACGGGCCGCGTCGACGACATAGCATCGCACCGTTCGCAACTGCTAAATAATTTTATAATGTTAACAAAAGCTTATAATCTAAAAGAATTAAGTTTTATACGAATTATGTTTTTATATGCTTTGTCCTTGAGGACAAGTAAACAGATAGATCAACGTACAGCCTGATCTTAAAAAAATGTCCCTTTTATGTACTATATATTATGATTTGAAGTACACAAAAAGTAGGCGAATACGATCTGTCCCTCCCTGAACCACTAGATGACAATCGCGACCTCTTTTCCAAAAAAAGACACGACTAAGAAGGAAGAAGTCATATAAATATTCTAAGTCTATTCAAAATAGAATAAATATGGAAAAATTAATATATGATAAGTGTGTTTTATTTGGATACTAGTAAATTGAATGAAACACTTTTTAATGAATTAAACTAACAATCGTAGTAGAAAAACCGGATTGTAGTAAAAAATCAGTTAAGAAATATATTTTGCGTTAAAAAACTTATATTTTATGTTGGGTGGTTCATTTGGGTGAACTGTAGACACAAATTTTTTATGTGTAAAATTCATAATAACATTCTAGCAGAGTTTCGTTGGCAAAAGAATTATAGGCTTATACAGTGCTGCTACTTTCACTTATCTTCATATAAAATAAATAGCGAAGCATCGCTTAGACACGGAAATGAAGATTGATGACCAGATGGAAAAACGTAATATGATTAGTGTACAATATCTTTTTATAATGACATTACGAAGGTAGTCTATGGGAATAACCTCTCAACATTATTGCATGTACATTAAAAATAATATAATGTTTTGTTTAATTTATTCTCACTTAAGCCTTTTTGAAGGTAGATAAATTATCATCATCACATATTGTTATAATTAAGTACAGTTATCTATACATAATTATATTAGAATTGTCGTTATAAAAATAGTTATTTTGTATTGCTTAAAACAAGATAAATTCATTGATTAATGATTATTTCTTAGTAACATTTCCGTAACATAAAAGACTTGTAATTCAGTTTTCATGTGCTTTGAATAATCAAGACCAATCTAAGAGTCGATAATTTATTAGCAGTTAAGATAATGTACATTTAATCAGTCGAAGCTGTTAAGTGTTCTTCTATAAATAAAAAATCTATTTAGATTGAAAGGAAAATACGAGACGGGCGTGACTTGGGCCCCGTGCTGCTGCTATAACCTATGATGCTACTGCATCTTTTTTAATTTATAAAATGCCACCATGTGAAAAATATTAAAGCTTTCAAGAGTACTTCTAGTGGGAATAGTAGATTATATTTCAATATGTAGGAAAATAATTTGTCTTTTTGTTTTACTGAAAATGTATGCTGTAAACGGACATTAAATTATTCAGTATAATGCAGGCCAATATATAAGTACGATCTTAGTACTTTAACAAACATTCAACCATCGAAATAATCGCTACCAGATCTCAAATCCTTGGTGTACAATGATGTACAGCTACTCTTACTTTTGAGTAAAAAAATATCGATGAATTTTGCATAGATTTATAGTATAGATTAGTTAATTTTAAACCACAAAAGCGGTATATCCAGGTAATGTAATATTTCAGGTAACATAAATTAAAGGTGATACAAATTGAACACGGTTTACTTATAACAAAGCAGTAAGTATTTAACGTACGTAACGCAAGGCAACAGACAGGTTCAAAGCATGGCTTATATCCTGAGTTAATTAAGTGACTGGTCATTTCTCTTTATGCCAATAATATCCTGTCGTTTCAGACTGATCACTGTTTTTAATTTAAAATAACTTGACCAGACAAAAAACTTCAGGGTGGGCAACAAAATTGCGTGTACAAGATGACGTGATAAAAAAAGGATTACAATATTGGCTCTGTTAAATCGATCTTGCTGAGCAGCAGTGAGTAGGCAGAATATATCCATCATATATAATGTATGCACTTGTTACAATAATTGCATATAAAAGGTAATCTCATTATGCAGAATTCAAACCCAGGACCTATCGCGCTAAATTTCTATAAACACGTTTCATCGCTGAGCAATGTAAGTGGTATTTGTTTATAGTTATTGCTATTTAAATGACGCAGCTAATTAAGATATTCTAAGCATTTAGTTATCTCATTCACATAATTGTCATAATTATTTCACCTGTTTAACACCTCATACTAGTAAATAATTACTTAGTCTGTGACTGACATAAAGAATATCACGTACTGTCTATAGTTTACGCGAGTAGTACACATTTAAATAAAACACTTTAACGGTTTAAAACGCGATATATTAGTTAAACTTATTTGAAAATGATTTTTAACTTCGGCCCGACGTTTCGGATGCTTTGCAGCAGTCGTGGTCACGGGGAGACTAAACATGGAGGATGTCTCTGACGTCAAAGTAAAATGGGATCCGATCCCATATTAAAAACTCTGGATCCCAATAAACAGCATACCGGCAAACGCGAAGACACCGTTAGTCAATTCTGCAAGGACCCGGCCAGTTTCGCCAAATACTAACTTCGACGGAACAGATGGCGCTAGCAATTTTTTACTTTGAGATTGAAAAAAAAAAAACGGGGGGGGGGGGGGGGGGGGGGGCGGCCCGGGGGGGGGGGGGGGGGGGGGGGGGGGGGGGGGGGGGGGGGGGGGGGGGGGGGGCCCGGCGCCCCCCCCCCCCCCCGGCGGGGGGGGGGGGGGGGGGGGGGGGGGGGGGGGGCGGGGGGGGGGGGGGGGGGGGGGGGGGGGGGGGGGGGGGGGTGGGGGGGGGGGAAAAAAACACAAAAAAAAAAAAAAGGTTTTTTTTTTTGTTGGGGGGGGGGGGGGGGGGGGGGGGGCGGGGGGGGGTTTGGGGGGTGGCGGGGGGGGGGGGGGGGGGGGGGGTTTTCTTCCCCGGCCGCCCCGCCCCCCCCGCCCCCCCCCCCCCGGGTTTGGGGGGGGGGTTTTTTTTGGGTTTTTTGGTGTTTTTGCCTTCCGGGGGACGCGGGGCCGCCCCCCCCCCACAAGAACCCCCAACCCGGATTTTTTTTTGCGGGTACCCCCCGGGGGGGGAAAAAAAGGCGGCCCCCCCCGGGGGGGGGTGCGCGGGGGGGGGGGGGAAAAAAGGAAAAATTTTTTGGAAACAGGTGGGGGTTTGTCTGGAAATCTAAAATGGGTGGTAGGAATAACGAAAATTCCGTCAGAGACAACCTCCATCCTAACAAAAAAAAAAAAAAAAAAAAAAAAAGAGAAGAAAAAAAACACCCCTGTGTTTTCCAATTTCCATATCCAAAAAAAAAAAAAAGGTGTCAGGCTTATCTTTTTTTGAATATATAGGGCATTTTCACCTACCATAAAATTAACCCCTTGCTTGTGTCCTGTTTTAGCATTTAAAAAAAATACCTTTCTATCTTTAATTGTCTATATCTCAAATAGTAAGTATCAGCTTACGATTCTTAAGACAGGTAACAGGTATTACAGATGCTCCGTTAAGATTCTATGTCATTTACTATTTAATTATAATTATTTTGATACAGTAACAATTTCCAAAACGATCTAGTCAAATGTGTGACGGGGCGTGACCCGAAGTGATTCTCCATTGTTATTTTTACAAGTGAATAAGCCACGCATGCCCGCGGCGGTTCTCATCCGAAATACAAGCATTCACTCGAGCAAACTACGAACCGAATGACGCCTTGAATTAACCATTCCTATATTACAATTTGTTAGAGCTAAACACACATTGCCTCATGATCATTAAATGTTAGTGTTATGTCCCTCCGTAAAATGTATTGCGGCATTTTGAACATGACTTGTGTATATTAATTACGCTCTCAAATCTCAAGACAATTTGGACAATAAGGCTTTGTTATCTCTTCCTAAAACGAAGGTATTCAATGTTTCGTAACGTTCGATTTGCATCTTGGATCATAATAATTTCAAATACTTATACACTGTAAGGCTTTGGTCTCTTATATACGGTGTAAGTCGCTTACGGCGTCGTGAAGTTACGCTTGCAATAATTGATGTAATACAGATGTAGTTTAGTTCTGTTGTAAATACTACAAGTAGCGTGTACTAAAAATATAGTTATTTTTAATTATTGAACAGTAAACGTCAAATTTGACAAGATCATCGTTTGTCACCTGTCAAATACTGTTATTAACACAATGCCCAATATATACTGACCACTGACCAATAGAATTTAATAGTCATCTGAAGGCGGCCCACGGCATTTGTGGGAGACTACAGCCTAACATCCGGGCCTATCTGATTCCAATCTAATTCCGTGAAGCTTTCAATGTCACCGTAACCATCCGTAACCAATGTACTCGTACCAATGATCAAATCGATCTATGACAATGGAAGTTTCGTACAACCCACGCATAAAAATACGTTAGGTTGTGGTCTCCTATAAATGCCGTGTAATTGTGGAATAAAGTAAATTTGACAAGGACGAGTTGTACTAACTGCTGAGCAATACTCTGACCATAGATTGTGGCGTTTATCGCAGACCACAGACTAAGTGATTCAGAGCTTAAAGTTATTTTTAATAGGATAATATGTTGTTTTTATTTATTATTTAATAAGTGATAATAATTGGTCAATTGTGAAGATCCTCGAAATTTAATTAAAAAATTATTTAATTAAAAACGTCTCACGAAACGTCTTAAATAAAGTCATAAGTAAATATTTTCAAGCGCCAAAATAGTTTCTTTTTTAATTGCGTCGATAATTACAATCACCTGCACTTTTATTACTGTAAGTACCTACTTACTGTATTAAATTCAAAATATTTAAAAATTATATTTATATCAATGAAAATATATTCGATTTTTATAATAGGCATTCATGTTTAAACTTACTGTAGCCGCTTATAGAATAGAGGCTGTTTGGCAAGTTATGAGTAAGTAATCCATCCTTCTCGTTATTGATGATAAATTAAAGTCTATTGTCCATTCTTTAGAGTTTAGACACAAAGATAGAGTTACAATAGTGACTTACGGATATAAAATCAATGAACAACCTTATATTCAGTTAGCTA